AATTCTGAAATTGACAACAGAGAAACTCGATTAAGAATAGTGATGTAGACAATATTTGTTCACTTACTTTTACCGAGTATTTAATTATTTAAACTCTACGTTGAAATGTATGAAAAATGGAAGCTATAATTTAAATTATTCCATTGAATTGAAATAATTAAATTAATAAAATTAAATGTTAAGCTAAAAATGTGTGACGTTTTCTTATTGCATCCATGACCAATGACTCTTTGACTCAATTCATCGCATTGGATGTGGTTTTGTTCCAAAGTTAATGGAATTGATTCCATTTGGGCAGCTCAATCACTTGTTTACTTTCACCTATAACATCGGCATTTGTTCTTTATCGGCCATTGAATTCAATGCTCCAATGGCCGATTTCGGATTCTTCTTTCAATTAAATCGGAAGATACTTCGAACTTTAGTCCACTCATTTGTTTCTTCTCGACATAATAATCCATTCTCCAGTCGAATTTCAGCTTTGTATTGAAATAAGAAGAACAAAATGAATTCATGCTTTAACTTCTATCACTTTATTCATTCATATCAAATTTTTTCTGTGGCAATTCTTCGATTTGGATATTTCTGTGTCTGGAACTTTGTTCCAATTCGATTTTCATTCAATCAAATAAACTTAACTGTAAAATTTTTGAGCTGATTTTCATCAACAAATTTTATGAGATTCTTTTCTTTTATGCACAAGCAAGTGATAAACATACATTTCCGAATGTGATACAATCACAAAAACAACATTCAACGTGTCTTTTGATATCTTTCGACGGTGGAACGTCTTTTGAATGCGTTACCAAAATCATTTCGTTTTATTGTGGTGACGTTTCATGTGCTGATTTAAATTACTTTTTTGGACGAATCGTTCTGAACAATGAGAGCAACGAAATGGTTTGTCGCCGGTGTGTTTGCGCATATGTGTGACTAAACTTGGTTTGTATAAGGTAGAATATTTGCACAAATAGCATTCATATCGACGTTGATTGCAGCTCTTCTCATGCGCTTCCTTCGCCTTCTTCACCTTGAATCCTTGTCGACAAATCGAGCAATGAAACGGGAAGTCATTCGCGTGGGTTCTCATGTGCGTTGTGAGCGAACTCTTGACAGTAAATCCTCTCGCACAAAATTCGCATTTGAATGGTTTGTCGCCGGTGTGTTTGCGCATATGCTTAACTAAATGTGATTTGTATGAGGTGGAATATTTGCACAGATAGCATTCGAATCGACGTTGATCGCAGCTCTTTTCATGCGCTTCCTTCGCCTTCTTCACCTTGAATCCTTGTCGACAAATCGAGCAATGGAATGGGAAGTCATTCGCGTGGGTCCTCATGTGCCTTGTGAGAATACTCTTTATAATAAATCCTCTCGCACAAAATTCGCATTTGAATGATTTTTCGCCGGTGTGAAAGCGCGTGTGTATGACAAGATGCGATTCACATGGGGCTGTGTACCCACAAAATGCGTACTTATGTCCCTTCGATCCGCTTTCACCTTCGCTTTTTCCAATATCACCCTTCTTCTTTGCCACCTGTTTCGCGTTCGATGTCGATGCGCTTGGTTTTTCAACTCCGTTCGGGTCAGCACCGTCCTCTCGAACTGGTTGACTGCTGATACTGCTCGCTTGTTCAGCACTCTCGATCTCGTTCAATGTCAGGTCAATCAATGTCACTTCTACGGAAAAATTTCAAAATCACAATCAAAACTCCAATGTTTTTACGTGTGTCAATCGAAAGTCTCACCTGAAGTCGATTCCGGAATGGTTTTCAGTGTCGATCGTAGGCCCGTTTTTCGTCTCTTCTTCGCACCGCCATCCGACGTCGTTGCATCAGCAATTTTCCTCTTTCGTCGCTGGTTTCCTCCTTGTCGCACAGCATTTCGCTCAGTTTGATCGCTGTCAACTTCTGGTGATGGTTCAACATCGTCACAGATCAAATCAATGCATTCTGCCACCTGATTGGTCGATTCATTGATGCGTGCACTTGATGCAGCTTG